GCTCCCAACTTTGTGGGAACAGTTTGGAGCTGGCCCCTTCCTCTTCCAACATGACTGTGCACCAGTGCACAAAGCAAGGTCCATAAAGACATGGATGACAGAGTCTGGTGTGGATGAACTTGACTGGCCTGCACAGAGTCCTGACCTCAACCCGATAGAACACCTTTGGGATGAATTAGAGCGGAGACTGAGAGCCAGGCCTTCTCGTCCAACATCAGTGTGCGACCTCACAAATGCGCTTCTGGAAGAATGGTCAAAAATTCCCATAAACACACTCCTAAACCTTGTGGACAGCCTTCCCAGAAGAGTTGAAGCTGTTCTAGCTGCAAAGGGTGGACCGACGTCATATTGAACCCTATGGATTAGGAACGGGATGTCACTTAAGCTCATATGTGAGTCAAGGCAGGTGAGCAAATACTTTTGGCAATATAGTGTAGCTGCAAGAAGCAAAAGGGAAAAAAGTGCAGTTATTACTCTCATAACCAATTACCTTCTTTGATCTAAGGAGCTATTTAATATAATGCTTTACTCTGTTTAAAATATTATGTGTTGGAGAAAACTAAAGCAAAACCTAAGTACCCTTGCAAAATGCCTATTCTGGGTCAGTTTAGTAACACCAACGCCTATGCAAAGGATATGAATGGGAAATTAGATTGCTTTCTCTTACATTTTGTCCAAAGTATGGGTCCATTCTCCTGCTCCTTATTTTTTTAAACAGTCAGTAGTTACTTTCCCCAGGGGTTATATAGCAATAACTTGCAGTCTTGAACTTGCATCTGATCAGAGACATGCCCCAAACTGATCTATAATGAGATTGCTGTTTTGTTCCTTTTAAGTTTCTGCATATCAGTTTCCAGAAAAGATTATTATTATATTTTTTTTTGAGATCCATTGAAAGACAATGTGGAAAAGGGCGCAAAGCAAAAACTAGTGCTGAAATTTGAGTCACTCATGAACTTTATCTGGTGTCTGCTAAAAGCATTTTAAACCATAGAAACTGGATGGAAAATGCATATTTAAAAATTGAACCTTGAAACCTTCCTTGTTCATCAAGCCCAATAAATGTTTTGGCTAATGTATAAATGTTGAACACAGCTACCACTAGCCTTACTAATGATGGTACTTAGCAGGTAAACACTGTATTAAGGATTAAACTCAGACTAAAGATATTAACAAAATCCTCTAACATGAATATAGCTCTTAAGGAAGAGGGTTTTTGAAATCTGATCAGATTATGTTCACCTTAAAATGACTGCCTGTGGGAAACAAGAAGGCTTCCTATGACCTTTAGTCCAAGCAAAGAACCCAAATTCCAGTTTTTGACCTGGGATTTAGTTGAAACTGACCCACTTTTGCCCTAACAGCATAAAATGGCATTTGTGTTGAAAAAATAGCCCAACAATTTTCAGACTGCAATAAAAATGTTTAACACCTCCCCTCTCACTATCTGAGCTTTGTGATGCTTTAATCTTAAATTCAGAGGAGATCCCAGGTGAGCAACTAATAGAACTTGGATATCTTAGTAAACTGTATCTCTTTATAGCAGACTGTGCTGTATGTCCTCTGGTGATTGTACAGTAAACAGTGCAGGAGCGGCGGCGGCAGAGGCAGAGAAGAGCTCCTGGCTACCTCTCTCCACCCCGGAGTGAACGCATCAAGCTAATACATGGCGACACGTTGTGAGTTATTGCGCTGAATACCAGGCCGCTGGTTCTGCTCACAGGCCTGGTTTGATCTTTTATTTACACTTCTTTTTGCTCAGGATTTCAGGACAATTTTCTCAACTCTTTGCAGTCAACAAACTACAAAGCAAGGCGCCCATCTCTTGGAGGCATGTTGAATAGAGGCTGTGCGCTTCAAACATAACCATAACAACAGAAAACAGAACTAAAACGCTGCAACTGCTTTGGACTACAAGCTGTGCTTGTAAATAGGCCATGCACTCTTGACATCTTGGGAAGGAAAGGTCAGTGTATTAAATGATTGAGGAAAGGCTGTGAAAGAAGAGGCTAATAGACTAGGAAACCAATACAGGTGTAGGACAAACTATTTTGACTGTTAGTACTGTTGCATATTCACTCAAGAGGCTGTCAGAGAGACAGAGCCGATACCTAAAACTATTATTCCACCATTAGTTTTCTACAGGTCACGATTGTGGCATAATGCAATAGCATTCATCTATTTCATTCATTTTAGTTCTTAGAGAGCGACACGCAATTTAATTACCCACCCTGCTCTTTGGCGACGGGAGCGGCAGCAAGTGCCTCACCCCCTCCCATGGCTCGCTCACTTCTCGTAAAGGATCGAGGGTGCCGAAACAATGATGGATAGAGTCTGAAAAGTGCATTATTTCTGATGCATTTTTGATTATTTCTACCCTTTCCCTTTTTTTCCCCAGGTAATGCAATAAGCCTGATACGCTCTGAGTTCTGTCAGAGACATGGATATTGCAACAGCTCAGCCATCACTTTCTATTGGCAGGAAAGTCATTGTTTCTGAAACAAGGGTTACTCTGTTTTTTTTTTTATAGCTCCTTTACTATTTTTCTCATTTTTTTTTTGTTTGTGCACTGTCTGTGTGTCTGTCTTTCTTCAAAACCCTTTGTGAATCTGTCTGTCTCTGTGTCTCCAGCTTGGAGACATTCTCATTTGGACTAGTGCCTTGAAAGCCCCAACAGACTGCCACAATAGTTCCTCATCAAAACAATTTCAAGGACCTCTTCAAAGTGAATGAATCAATAAGTGCTCATATGTGGGGTTAAAGCAGAGGTTATGCTGATATTTTTCAACTCCAGACACTCCCTTAACCCCAACATGGAAGCCAATGCCAACAGCTTCCTGTTTGGTTAATGAAATTCATTCTTTAAATAGAGAATATCAATCTCTCTAAATATAACCCTGCCCCCCCTATACACAAATATATATATATCTAATAAAAAGAAAAGCATGAAGTCCGGAACAAACCTTTGGGCTAATACTCTTACTGTATGTCTAAACCTGGTTTACCCACAGTGAAACAATGCAAATGCCTCTGATGTTTAAGATGTAGATGCTCCCAGCAAGCATTGATCTGTACCACCCTCAGAGCTTCTATAAAACAGAAAAAAACCTTGCAATTCTCTTTGTTCATTTTATTTATCCTCACACTCTAAGACACAGCACTTTCCTACAAATAATTATAGTCCTCTTGCTTGGGTTCAAAGAAGAGAAAACATTGCATTGTTCTTACTGACATAAAGTATTTCATTTTTTCATAATTATGGGGATTCTTTTGTTTTAATAAAAGTGAATTGCAATGTCTGTACAAAAAGAAATAAATGTATCACAACGTATGTTTTTAACTGCTGGTTTGGATTATTTACAGTTTAGGATAGTTATTTCTTATTAAATGTGAGAGAAAATTACCTCTGATCAGAAACAGAACTAAAAGTGACCTCATGTAGGTAAAAGGGTGTTTTTTTGAGCTCATGTAACCATATTTTGTCTCTTTACAGACAACATTAGACTGTAAAAAGTAGATTCAACAGACTGTCCTTAATTCATTGCCTTCTAAAGAAATGTACAAAATATAAAATAATTGCAGAATCTAGCCATATATCAGGAAAATGTTTATCTTGAAGAACAATCCAAAGATGTTCACATTCCACAAAGAATGGTCACTTTTTCTTTCATCTTCTAATTTCACTGAGGAAAGGCAGCTTTGAAAAAACACTTGATCATACTCTTATGATGATATTCTTTTAGGGGTTGATTGTTTTTTTTTTTATTTAAATGTTTTTAATACTCCCTTTTTTGTACTTTTTTCAGCTAGTATTGCTTTTCGTGACTTTGAGGTATATAACCTTTTTAAGTATCATATTTTTCTGAAATATTAAACACCTCAACTTACATTTGCTGATCCACTGCTCTGGAGTCTATTCAGTCAATTTTCTAAATTCTTTAAAACCTCTCAAATGTGTTGCTTCCCTTCTCACCAATAATTTGGGTTTGGCTAAGCGCTATAAACTACCAAAGGACCAACTGTGCTAGTGGGACACTCCGACTCTGATGTGACTTGCACCTTCTTCTCAGTTGTCTTGTGTATTGAGAGTACAACACTGTTTTCTTTGATTCAGTTACACAAGGTCATCAGTGTAGCTTAAACAGTCCAGGTGAGCTTGGCAGGAGAACGCAGAAGGATAATCTTAAACAGGTGAGACGTCTCATCTTGGCATCCCACTTCACACAACAACACAATGTCACCAGGTAAGGTGGTAATAAAGCATGCAGCTTTGGCCAGGCTCCATCAAACTGGCAGCTGATTCCTTTTTTTAGTAATTTACTCAGGGAAAAATCAGTCATTGTTTAATTTGTACTTGTAAACTATAATTATTTCAGCTGAGACCTGAGTGTGCAGAATGTAAAATGACTTTCAGATTTTTTTTTCATAAAATGTTGTCATAGCTTTATTGGAGTTTGTTTTATAACTAGTTCAGTCACAGTAAATTAACGGCTGGATATTTATTTAGGAATTACATTATTCTACATAGACAAAAGTCTACATTAAGTCCTTTATCTTTTGCTTAATTAGCTTTCAATATGTAAGGACTGCAGAACTTATTTTGGTTGATATTCTGCAAAAAGTATTTTATGAGCATACTTAGACTTTCTCCCTTCTCTGAGACTCTCAGATGTTTGCAAACCCCACTGAGAAACTCTTGGCAGTTTTGCAGAGGATCATTGTGGTTTGCAACCTATGCTGAGGTAATGTTGCTTTGCTTTTTAAAGGGGTCATAGAATGATTATAAAGTGTATTTGGTGTCGGTCCTTAAGGTCTCTGAATAGGGTGTGTACCCTTGGTTGGGCTGAAAATGGCATATTTGCTGTTCTGTGAGCCCTAATGCAAGCCTGGTTAAAAGCCCTAGAATGAAACGACAGGTTTTCTTACTTTTATGGTATGCTCATGATTTAGATAAGCTGTGCACTGATTGGTTTGTTTTTATAATGAGCGAAGCTGCTGAGCAAAGATGCATCATAGCAACAAGCACTCACTCACTGAAACATCGAAATTGTTGATATGGTAGGGTGACCAGACTTCCTCATTTTCCCGGATGTGTCCTACTTTTCATACCTCAAAAAATGTCCAGGGGGAATTTCAAAATCGTCCGGGATTTTGGTCGACTACATTGCTGCACAAAGTCGAAACACACCGGGCATTCGAACCGAGCCGTGAGCTCCGGGGCTGGTCTGGGAAGCCCCGGCGGAAGAGGACAGGGAGCCAGTGGGGGACAGAGCGACCAAACCACACCCAGTGACGGTATCCTGGACACAGGCAGCCCCATGCTTCGCCCTGTCTGCCTTACCGGCCCCCAGCCCCCCTCCTCCGGCTGAGGAGGGACGGCTCATGGCTCTCTACTGACATCCGGTCCAGTCAGCGGCTCAGCAGTCGACACTTTATACACCTGAGCTTTAGGTATATTAACATGGGCATGTGTCAAATTAGAAAAGTACTCTGAACATTATAAATAAAGGTTTACAGACTCAAACCTGTCAAAGGCAGCAAAAGTAGTGAGTAAAGTGAGGGTCCATAAGAGGAGAGGTTTGAGCTCTGACCAAAGAGGAAAGCCAGAGCCGGTGTCGAGGAGGTTCACACGAGTCTGGGTCAGGAGATCAGAGGTCCAAACATGTACCAAAGGAAATTCCAGGTGGGTGTCATAAAGCAGATCCAGGTTCGGTAAACAGGCAGAATCCCACAGGAGTCTGAAAACAGCTCAGGCAAACAAATCAGAACAGGAACAGGCAGACTCAGAGGTCCACAGATATAAGAGGTCAGGAATCAGAACACAATAAGGTACGCTAGAGAACTCTCAATGAAGACATGAATAATCTGGCACTGATGACTGGAAACAGGCAGGTTAAATAAAGACTGGAGCAGGTTGATCAAATTAGCAGTGATAAGAAACTGGGCGGAGCTATTCATGTGAAGGGAATGAACAATCAAGCCAGTCATCAGCGCCAAGATCATTTGCGTATTCGTGCGTACCATTGAGGTATGTATTATTCATTTTCCTCTGAGATCATTGAAGACCACACTCCAGTCTGGTAGGGGGCCCTAAATGCACCTTAGGTCAGTTTACATCTGCCATTAAAAAACAAAAGAAGAAGAAGAAGCGTCAAGATCATCACAACATGATTAACAAAATCTTTGACAATAGGAACATGATCACATTTACAATTTAATCAGCCAATGTTAACAAAGTCATTAATTAAGTCTTGTATTGCACATCAATCTATGTTGAACGGTAAACTCAAACAATCTTAGCTTAAAACTGGTGAATGGCACTGATAATGCTAGCTGTGTATATCTAAAATCACTTTTTAAAATTACAATTACTCCTCCTCCAGGTCCCAGGAATAACAGTATCAGCATTCACCACGTAAAGTAAAATTCACAGATTCTACAGCAGCCTCTTGCTAATGTAGCTATACAATTCTGTGCTTTACATTCATTGTTTGCAAGAGGATTTCATTTTTTCAACATAGCTAGAATTATCTATAGAGTAATTTTTAAAATATAATGAATATCCGTCCAACAATGAAATATATATCATCCAATTGTTGGACTGATATAAAGTTAAATGCAGTGAAAACAATAGCTCAACTTTTCAAACACTTCACCAAACACTACGGCTGCATGTTTGGCTGAAACATTTAAAAAAAAAATCTATACATTGAAAAAATAAAATCTTTATTTGTGTCTTACTTTTATTTTGTTTCTCAATTTCTTTCCTTGCTTCTTTCCTCCATCTTTCACCACTGGTGCACATGTTTTCACCGGAACATTTCCCATCATTGTTCTTCACTTCGCAGCGCCATGCCACTATGCTTCCTGTCCCGTCTCAGTATGTACTTGGGCCCATTCATCTTATAGCCACCTGGCAGCAAGGGCGCCTTTCAGCATATCATTCAATACTGCTCAGCGGACTCTGAGCCTTCTCCCTTTAATGAGCCCCATGGACAGAGAATCTGCTGAGCTAATTAAACAAAAACAAACTCTGAGCTTTCCACACGCTCTGTGCAAAACACTGCTTATTGAGGAGTAAAAGTCAAACTTCATGATTCATTAACAAGGGGAAGTCTGAGCAGGCCGGACAGATCAGTGGAAGCTGTGGAGAAGTGGAGAGATGAAGCGAGGGAGGAAACGGGGGAGGGTGTGGATGCCTTACTTCATTTAGCAGTGCCGCAAAGCACACCCACATTTTTGTCTGAGTTTAGATTTACCACAAGAACATTCTTAAAACTGTCAGCAATTTTGTGATCTATATGTTTATTTAGGCCTTTTTAGACACTTCTCACATTTCTTACCTGATTATAAACCACGTTGGTCCTTCATAAGTTTTTCTTCTGTCTCTTTCTTCAGCTTCAGTCCTAATTTTCTTTAGCAAAGTGCTGACTAAAATATTTAGGTAAATGCACAGGGATTTTTCATTACTTAAGAAAGCACAAGATGTTAAGGTATAGAACCATAAACTTATTGCAGAATTGAAATCATTTTAATGGGTTCAGTTATCCTTCTCTCAAATAGTTTTTCCCATTCATCACCAAGTTTTTATGAAAAAGGAAAATACGGATTGTATCCTTTTTGAGTAAAGTAACTTACTTATGCCACTCATCATGCAAATTATGTTTTTCTTTTCAAAGGCCTGTGATGGTATTCAGCTTTAGAAGATTAATACTAATTTGCTCTTCTCATTTGGTTCAACAATATAATTACTTTGCAGCAAAAATTCTATGATAGGGTTACCTAATCTCATGCTACACTATGCAAATGTTTTGTCTACGTCAAGAAAGAATGTAACAGCAAAACCAGAACTATTCATGGCTCGAACTATAAAGATTGCAAATAAGGGGCACTAACTTGCAATAGCATTTTCTTTTCTTTTTTTTTTTGCATGTGCAATAAGTGGGCTTGTTGTGGGTGGACTACAAATGTTTTTGCACAAATGGAAAGATATGAAAACTAGTTTGGTTAAACCCATTTAAATGAACTGTTTATTTGTGCTAGAGGCAGATTGAGAGTGGCCATAAAAAAGGTAAAAAAGGTTAGTTGGAGGTAATACTGATAATAATCATTTTAGAAAATAATTATATAGAACAAGTCCCATAAGCAGTACCTTTTAGAAATCTTGTTATCATGGCAGCCAATTTATTCTTTTATGATTTGCATATTATTTAATAAAGAAAATAAATATATTTCTATACAATATATAAAACCGAACACAAAATATAAGAAACAGAAAAAAGTAGAAATATAAAACTAAACATTAACAGATCATAAAAAATACATAAATGAAAAAATTTAAGTTATGAATACATAATAATAATGATCAAATAAAATTGGGTGGAGATGCTAAATCATCACAATCAGGCAGCAATGTCATAGATCTAATTAAATTTAAGAGTTAGCACCACTTTTAAAAAGTTTAAGGAACCTTTAAGAGATAATCTAAGTTTTTCAAGTTTGATTTATAGTAGCACCTTTACACACCTGTTATGAGATTATGGAAGAGAAAGTTTCCAATTATGAGTAAGAGCCACCTGGACAACAAAATAATAAAAGCTGAAATATTATGCATGTTTGAAGATGAAGGGTTGGACAGGGAGACCGAACAAGGAGGGAATCAGGGGAGATGGTTGTTTTATATTTTGCAGTATAAGAGTTTAAAAATATCTGACCAGATTGGGATAAGCCTGGGGCAATACCAACACATGTTGTGGTTGACTGGATATCGTTTACACCCATTACAGATTAGTTACATTAGGGTAAATCCAATACAACTTTAGCACAGATTGAACAAGAGTGAAGTGTCCGCTAAAGTTGATGCCATTAGTTGTCAGGCAACCTGATTCCAAGATCTTGTCTCCAAAAATGCTTGGGGCCTAATTAAGGGTTATCAATAGTAGAATTGATAAGGTTGTAAAAATATGTGTTGTTTTTGGTCAGATCGAGAGTCATTAAAGTGTTGATCAAAGTGCCTGAAGGACAAATGGAGGATTTTTGGTTTGGACTCTGAACCAAGCACACTATCTGGAAATAACAGTAAAGAAAACTTAATTTACTTGAGAGCTGTGAAAAAGACATAAAAGTCCCTCTATCATAAATATTCTTAAATTATGTTTTTTCTTTATCACACCAACTCCAAAAGGCCAATGAAGAGATAGATGACAGAAATAAGTGATTATTTAAAGGTGGGGGGAGGTCTGAGGCTCTATGAAGGCCCATTTTTTTTCCTCATTTGAGTTCAAATTTTAATAGATTTTGGATTACCACTAAGTTACAGGTAAAAGGAAAAGCCTCTGAAGAGAACAGGGGGTGAAGAGAAAGATTACAGGAGATGAGATCAAAATCTACACAGTAAAAAAAACACGCTCCTTTAACACTTGAAGAGTGTTTGTATCCAATCATGACCATTTTTAAAGAAAAGCTTCTCACTTTTTGTAATACTAAAATATTGTTCACAAACTGAAATCCCAGGGTCTTATATAATCTGAGGTCAATGCATTTGGAAAGCCTTTTTCGCTGCACTGTAGCATAATTAACAGTCAAATGCAACCCTCCAAGGGTGGAAGTACCGAAACTCTAAAATATCTTTTTTTTTCAGAACATCAAAGCATTAAGATGTTTCATCTATATTATAGCTTTGTTTATATACAGTTCTTAAGTTCATTTCAAACTGCCTTGATGCTTATCTGATGTTTTATATGCCAATGTGTAATAATGGAATAAAACGAGAACATAAAACAGGTTTATTTTTACTTTTGTTTGCATAATATTTGCTGTAGACAGCAGTAATTCAAACCTGTGACTCTAGCAATTCAGAGTTTTGGATAACCTTTTGGCTTCACAGAAGAGATTTTTGTTCTAGATTTGTTGGTCTGGTGGTTATTTCTTTGTGGATTTTTCATAATGTACTTTGTGGGATTCCTTGGATGCTTTCGTCTGGATGTCTTTCCAATTGTTTAACCTCAGTCCGTAAGTGTTGTTTTAGTAAACTGCCTGACATTTTATGTAACTAAATGGTTGGAAAAAATACAAAATGTCACATGTTTCAAGGTCTCATATGCACCTCAGATTACAACAGGTTACCACGAGGGAAGCATTCAAATGAGGTTGCTTTATATATCATCATGGTGTAAATATGATACTTATGTATGGCTTTATGTATATGTCTGCTGGCATGCATGTTTACATTTGTCACTAACAGTCTGAAAAGACAAAGTAATGCATATGTTTAGTTCTGCCAGCTAGTGGGAGTCTCTTAGCGTGCGCTGGATCATTCCTTCTTTCTCCCCTCTCCTTTTTGCTTTCCTCAGTTTAATGTTTTCCTTTGGCTCTAATGAGTTCTAAGTGGCCAATACTTTCTTCTGCAGGAAACTCGTGTCAAACTAATTAACTTTTAATGAGAGGAAACCCACTGATTAGGGTGTTTTTCTTGGCAAATGAGCTTATTAATTCTGTTGGTTTGAGGAGTCGGAGTGAGAAGAAGGCCTCTTCTCAGCAGTCTGTACCACTCCTGCCTCACACAGTCAAACACAGCTTCTGCAGGACTCCCTGCTCACTCTGTATGGCCAGCTGCTGCAGCCTTGGATTTCTGAATCCAAACACGGTTGCATTCTGGCGAGTTTCTCTCCCACTCATAGGCATACGCTTATCACTTTCTCTTTTATTGCTGCCCAACACTGCTCTCTAGTGAATTGAAGAAAATATGTAGTTTCATTTCTGCACAGTCTACAGTTTTTTGGGTTTATAGCTAGTTCAACATTTCCCCCATTCAAAATAACAAATGAAACATATATATATATATATATATATATATATATATATATATATATATATATATATATATATATATATATATATATATATATATATATATATATATAGAATGTATAATATAATATATTATACATATATTAGATGATAAGCCATACATAAATTAGTAGTTTTTTTATGTTAAAATTTTTAATGCTTTTTCTGTAAGAAATATTGTATCCAAAACACTATACCATTTTTTTATTGTTTTTTTGTCATTACAAGCATGAAGGAAAAATCTAAAATAACATGTCTCTGATTCAACGGAAGCTGAACTTTATATATATATATATATATATATATATATATATATATATATATATATATATATATATATATATATATATATATATATATATATATATATATATATATATATATATATATATACATATATATACATATATATATATATATATATATATAGATAGATAGATAGATAGATAGATAGATAGATAGATAATATCTCTCATTAAATTCAATTATTAATACATATTATATATATATAAATATAATCCACCAAAATATGGTCTTATAAAGAGGTAATGTCATTTTAACAACTGAAACTTTATCCTGTGGTTGTGGAGCACCACTCTGTCAATCCATGGAAATCCCAAGTGGGAACATTTGATGTGCCGATCTGATTGAGCCTCTCAGAACCTGGACAATGTGTCTGTTTTATCTTTCAATTACTGTCAAGGTTTGAAGAACTGATGTTCTACCTTTATCTGCCACAATATGGCTCAAGTTTGTTGAAGTCTCAGGCAAAAAAAAAAAAAAAAGCTGAACCAATAGACCAGAATAGGGTTGAAAAAAGGGACTGAAAAGCAGGCCCGGCAGCTGGTGCCGTTTCAAAGCCCACTCAAGCCCTTAAAGATGAAATCCATTTTGTTTTAAGCTACGCACACAGCTTGCCTGATGAGGGCTCTGGGGGTAAAAAGGGATAGAAAGAGAGATGGAGAGAAAGACAGAGACAGAAACTGTTTGATTTGTCAGAAGTTCTTTAATTTAATCTACAGCTGTCAGGATGCTGAGGATCCAGACCTCATCAATGCCTTTTATCTGCCTGATTTCACCCCAGGCACTAAACACACACACAATACTGTACACATGAAAAAAACACACACCTGC